CAGTTGGATCGACCTCCTCCTCCTCATCATCAAAGTTGAGATTGTTGTTATCTTTTTCCAAAGCCATTTTTCTGTATTGTTCCACCACCTCCTCCATATATTAAAAGAAGAAGAATTCCTATCTGTGTATTACCCCTCTGCGTCCGAGCCTTCGATCACCGCAAAAAGACAAATCAAAAAAAGAAAACGAGTAAAAACGAGAACACCCCCTGCTTCGGCGAATCCAATCAAGAACACCAACACCCACCTCCGTTCCCGTTCCAACCTTATAGTGAAGGCTGATACCGAACCCTAGAGAGAAGATTCCATTGGTAAAATTGTATTGAGTTTTTTGAAATTAAGGATTTTTGTTAATGTTAGGAACATGTTCTTCATAAGCTATAAAAAAATCTTTGTTTTTTGAATATTTATAAACCTATAAAATTTTATCAGAACTGCTAGTCTATGATCATACAATTTAGGCCTACGGGAAAGTTCCTGAAATATGACTAAAAGAGTTTGAAAATTCCAATATTGGTCTGTCATGTTTTTATTTCCAAAATAGGACTAATTACTACCAAGTTTCGAAAATACCATCTTTGAAGTCTGGTACTGTCAAAACATGACAATAGTTAGCCCTATTTTAAGAATAAAAATATGACAGTCCTATTTTGAAATTTTCTAACCCTTTTAATCCTGTTTTGGGTAAAATCTCCTGATTAATCTGGTCAAAAAGCCAAATAATGGTCAAAACGGTCAAAAAATGGCTGATAGACTCCTAACCAAACACCCCTGCAAATATGAGAGTTTTGGGTTAAGCTTTGAAATTTGGCATTTTCTATTAATTTTATGGCCAAATAGCTAAATCATCAAACATTTCCTCACAATCCGCCAATTTATTCTGCCAGTTAAACCTGCTGATTGAATCTGCTATTAACAACCGCTAACATAATCTGCTAACCGATAAATGCCAAACACGTCCATTTAATCTTAATCTTATCAATCAAATCACCAGAGAATATTTCTCGTATTCAACATTTTTTTTATCATAGTATTCAACATTTTAATAATATGGAGTATATAATTAATCAAACAGTCACGGTGATCATAAAAAGTCGTGTAAACGCAAATTATTCTATAAAAATTTATGAGAGGATCGTTTGTAAAACATAGTAACATACTCGGTGTATTTTTAAATACGTAGTATCTGAGTCAAAACGAATCTCGATATCAAACTCGAAAGTCAAGATCTCAAATCAAAACTCCAAAAGTCATGTTGATTTTTTGAAAAAGGAAAAGTATTTACTTCCAACGGTCGAATGTGTTATAAGGAAACACTGGGCCATACCATTTTTGTTGGGTTCCCAACGGTAAGAAAAAAATAGGGCTTTTTACGCAAATAGACTAAAAAGTATAAATAATATCACTTTTTTCATTTTTAAATGACCTTTTCAAAAATAGGTTGGGTAAGTTTTTTCTTTCACTAATAGACCCGCATCACTCAAGCGTCCACTAGAAGCTGAAGTGGCCGTATGATGCATTATTCTGTACGGCTCTATTGCACACGTATCATCGTATGATAGCTTTTTATAAAGCCATATCCAGGCAAACTTATACAATGATAAACTAAAATTTAAAATTATAAAACTGATACATCATATAACAATGTAAAGTAAAAAAATGACCTACACATACAAGTAAAAATTTATTAAAGTTTTTAAGAAATATAATTGAAAATTTTAAAAGGTAATAAAATTTAAAATTTATAGGAAATAACAAAACTGAAAATTATAATGAAAAATAAATATTACAAGCGAAAATTTTTAAATAAAAAACTCAAATAAATAAATAGTTGAAAAGAATATATAATATTTTATCATTATGCAATGATTTTTTTGAAGGGAAATTTCATTATGCAATGATGTTAACTAAAAAGTAAAAACTTTAAAAAACAGATAATATTTACATTTAAAATCTAAAACTAGAAAACTAATTAAAATATGATATAAACTAAATTTAAAAATAAAATTTATTAAAATACATAGTAAGATATAAAATGCTAGAAGAATGAAAAAAATAAAAGTTAAAATATGTAAAAAGTAAAATAATGAAAAAGTGGTAGAAAAATAGTTCAAACTTGAAAATAAAATGAAACACGATAGGAAAAATTAAAATCGAATATATATTTTAAAATTTTGAATAGTAAAAAACATGAATAAAAATTCAAGAGATACATATTTAAAAAAGAGTTAAATATATAAAATGTTACGAAAAACAACATATAATTTTTGAAAATAATATAGTTAAACTAATTAAAATATTTTATTTTTTAAAAAGGGAAATAATTGTAAATTGTAATTTTATATTATAAAATATTTTTAAAATACTATTATTATTATTATTGTTGTTGTTTTAATGTTGCCTTTTGTTGCATTGTTTTTTATATGGTTTCTTTGTGTTGCCTTTTGTTTCTTTTTGTTGTTAATTCTTTTTGTTGATGAATTTTCATATTTTATTTCTTATTGTTCAATTATGTTTCATGTTGATATATCTATTATCCAATATTATCATTATTGATGTGTGCACAAATTAAATGGAATCATAAATAAACAACACACAATGAATATATATAAACTTTCATAGTTGAAAAGACATTAAAAAAACAAAAGTCAAAATGGAATATAATGTGACACAATAAGAAGAAACAAAAAAACAACATGATGCAACAAAGTGAAACATGATGCAACAAGAAACAACAAAAAACAACATGAAAGAGCAACAAATAGAAACAAATAAATATAACAACAAATGATCATATTGAGTTGATACACATTTCAGCTTAGATGTGTGTTATACACACATGTTGAATTACTACACAAATGGCATCATAAACAACAAACAACCAAAATCAACAGTAAACAATAATAAGCAATATCATGCAACACAATGCAACAAAAGGCAACATCATGCAACATAATGCAACAAAAAGCTACATGTGTGATACAACAAAAAGCAACAAAAAATAATGCATAAAATTATCACAACAATATATAGTCCGCTCTTCTTTGAATACATGGGATAGGAACATATATATATATATATATATATATATATATATAGTCCAAATATCATTTGAATATATTTCATTTATCTAGTACACCAATTAGTTTGGTTTTTATGTTATCTCAAAACACAAATCATCAAGTTTGTCTCCACTATCTTCACTTTCCTCATCAATCTTCCCACACTTACATTTTCGTGTGCCTCTTTTTAGTACATGCCTGTAATGAGAATGCAATCACTATAGCATAAATAAATAAATAAAAATTACCAGGAACCAGTACAGTACACATATATGACTGACTAATGCAGCAAAATATATAACGACTACAAGGTAAAGATATATGAACAAAAGGACGTAAAAATGAAAATTGCCTCAACTAATCTACGAAGAACCAATGAAGGGGTATAAACTTTACTACCTCAATCTTTGGAATAATATAAGAATCCTTAAAAACAGAGAACCTTGCTTAGTTGCATATCACATACGCAGTACATAAGTTACCCAAACATGCTCTTACTTTTAATACGTCATAGAGCAGACAAACCTAAACACTAATTTATCAAGGGCAAATCGCATATCCGATGTACTCAACATTGTGCATAAAAAACTATGAACAGTAACACATTCAAAAAGGAAAAAACTCACACTACACTTTAAGTACCTCTTTGCTTTCTGGATGAAGCAAAAAAGCAACACAATCAATAATATTGGCAATTCCAATCGCCTTTTGCTGCAACACAAGTACACAACATTTTAAAAACGCCACAAAATTGATATAAACTATATCTTCCTTGAATAGAGTAGTGAAAGTAACCAATGAAGAGCAAACAAATAAACCTTTGCTAATAAGATTATGTCAATGGTCAAAGCAGAAGAGATATTGCAAAAAGGAATTTATAAATGACCAAACAGTGGACCATATTTGAACAACATTAAGAGAAACCATCCCAAGGACACTAGCTAACTCAGCATTCAACTTGAAACCAGCTGGAAACTAAAATTGTCAAAAAAAGTTAACCTAGGACAAATTAGAATGAAAAGAACAACATTAGAATCTCTCAATCCTATCATTCATAAGTATCTAGTCAACGAACTAAGATAAAACCTCAACAAAACCAGAATATGTAATAAAAACTTGAATTCTAAACACACATACACATATAAAGTATAACAAAATCACATAACAGTAATCTAAAATATGTAAGCAAATTTAACTGCGTCTTAGGAAAAATCGCAGAGTAAAAGCACAAGGAAAATCGCAGAGTAAAAGCACAAGTAAAAGGTTCATCAATAACCTTAGCGATGGAATCCTCAGAATTATCGAATTTCTAGGCACACTATCGATAGATCCCTCTTCGATTCTCGACAGGGAAGCATCGGCAACGGTAGATCTCCCAATTACAGCCGTTGGAGCAGAGAATACAGATGGCGGGGCCATCATTGTATTAGATACTCTGAACTTGTCCTGTGGCGTTGGCGACTGTGAGAGTGAGGCGGCGAATTCCATATCACCGCACCTCCTCGAGTGTTTTACGTCGAAGAGGGGGTCGAAGGTCGCTCGGCGATGGAGTTTTGGGGCTGGACGGAAATTAGAGCTCGTTGCAGGAGGAAAGGGGCGAGGGTGAAATCTACGATGGTTGCTGGTGGTATTACTTTGTAAGCTATATTTGAAATTAAACTTACAAAAGTGAAAAGTTAAAAGTCTACCAATGAAAAAACAAATCCAGTGGGCTATAAAAGAAAGACGGATGGCAATAGTGGCTAACACGGGATATTTCCACAAAAAAATACGGAGTACATAATTGCAAAGTCAGCCTTAGATTACCCATCAGGCCCAGCCCACAAGCCTTCCCGCGTAGGTCCATGGAAAAAGGCGCGAAGGCAATGAGACACGTCGAAGGCGCGAAGGCAAGGAGACATTGGCGCCAAAACCCTTCAGATATATAATCGCAACCTCTGGATTCATGTACTGCGCATATTTTATTGCATAAGTTCCAATCTGCCGATCTGATAATGGACTCCACAGAGCCTTCACTGCTTAATTTCTTCAAATCGGAGAAGGTGTTGGGCTCTAGTTCGAAGCCACTGAATTCGTCGCCGGCGGTTGAGATTCCGGTTGCGGATCCATTGACTTCTAAGACCCCCCAGAAGCCCATCAGTGCTCCTCGGCAGAGCAAAAAAGGCAATGCCGCCTTCTCTTTGAAACAGGTCAGAGAAGCTGCTCAGAAGCTCCATAATTCAGATCCGGTACCATCTGCTAACGACGATCCATTCGCCGATCAAATTTTGAGGCACCCCGGACAGCATGCTGTTTCTTTTCCTGAATCTTCTGTTACAAAGCCTAGGGAGCCAAACAGTTCAGCCAAGCTTCCAGAAAAGTAAGCAATTTTAGAACTTGACATATCTTTGCCGGATTGTTGTGCTTAGAAGAGTTCCAAACATTAGAATGTTGATTATGCATAGCGATGTTTCTATACAGCAATGTTTTTTTGGTCGGTCTTTAGATTTTGGTTTATTGGACACTATTTATTATCATGATCTGTCTCTTTTTACTGAATAATTTCTGGTTTCCAAATTGCAATTCTACAAATTTCAGAATTTTCTCTAATATCTGTATTTCTCTAATATCTGTATTGGTTCTATGTATTGATATTTTTACTGATTATATGTCAGGTATGAAATGTTAGTTAAATTCTTCAATTGCCTGGATAGTTCTATCAGATTACTAAAGAGGAAGGGATCATTGACAACATTTACCAATATTAGACCCAATATTGAGAGCTTGTCTGACAGGTATGGGAATCAAGAACTGTAGATCTCTTTTACCGTTTTTACACAAACTAAAGATTTATCCAACAGACAACGTTATTAAGCTATGCTAATTGATTGATTTTGTGTTAAATTTGTAGGAGGTTTACTCGCAGTCATCTTGCGCAGTTGAAGTTTATTTTACCAGAGGCCATTGTATTAAAGGAGGACCGTCTTTGGGATGAGCTTACACTATGTATGAAGCCTGATATATGTGTTACACTTGATGCCAGTACAATTGTGAGTGAAGTAAAGACAAAATCAGGCAGCACCATTATAGATATGAGAAAAGTATTTCGAAAGAGGCTTTTGGATTTTATCCAAGACCATCCACGGGTATGCACTTTTCTGCATGTAGTTAATGCGTTTGGTTGAATAAGTCTCATGTTTCAGATCTGTAGAAATTTTGAAGGGCTAGTTTTGGCAAGGATGTAGGGGTGATATTAGATTGTTTCAGTTTCAAAAAAATGTGAAACAACAGAACAGATAAACTTGGGTCTGTTTTTGTTTAGCCATTTCAGGTGGGTTTAGTTGATTTTCAAAGTCTAAGATGTAAACCTGAATTTGGGCTATATGTGATTAAATGGGTTTGGTCATGTTGGTTGCTTTGGTAGGTTTTCTAATCAAAGTCTAAATCTTGGACATCTAATTGAGCCTTGGGTTATACCATATTTGGTTAATACAAGTCTGTTAGCGGTTTGTGTTCGACTGTTTGTTTGTTTGTTTATTCGTTTCTTTGTTTTGTGTATAAATCTAATAATAGTTGATCATGTTTTGTGCACATAGGAGCATCCTGACATTCCAGAGGAGGAATTGCCAGAACCATTCAATAAACCAAAACATGGCACTTTGAGGAAGGCACCAAATGAGGTCTTGTCTGCACAGAAGCATAATGTGGGCTCCAACCCCAACCCATTCGACCCACCAGCTTCATCTTCACATCTGCCTCATTCGTTTAAGCGCAGCTTCTCTAAATGTGACCAAACCAATACAGAATCTTTTGCTAACTCTCATCATAATGAACTACGCTTAAAACCCAACTGTACCAGATTCCCTCCGCATCCAAACACTCCCATAAAGGATCTACATCAATCCATAACTGAAGAAAGAACTCCAGCTAAGCCTGTATCCACAACAGGAGTGATGACTTCTACACCCACGCCCCAACCTCCTCCTAGGAGAGGATATATGAGTCCTCAGGGTGATTCATCTAAGCCCCCAAACAAACTGTCAAAGCGCCCTTTGAACTTTGATTCGCCAGTGAAGAATGAAGTCGGTGAGGCTGGAACATGTTCTTCAGCTTACCGTGATATGCTGGGTGTTCTTTCTGAGAATATTTTGGAATCAGTAAGCATAGTTATATTTTTTGAGCTCTGCTGTTAAGTTGTAGTTATTGGAGTGGCCGTTTGGGATGCCTATACAAAACACTTCAATAAATAATAAATAATTAGTTTGTTTTGATGAAAATGATTCTAATCCTACAAAAAGTAAAAAAGATAATGAATTTTAATCTAGAAGACCTTTTTATTTCAATTAAAGCAACATATTGCTTCTGATATGGGAAAAGTGCTTTTATCTGTTTCAAAAGTCCATCCCAAACTAGCAGTATATATTTGTGGCCTATGAAATCCTAAACATGGTGTGCTTGTGCAGATAAGAGAAAAAGAAAGGAAGGCATTAGAGGAAAGAAATCCTGCGATCTCACAGGCAAAGTGGAGAAAGCAAATGGTTGCAGGCCTACCTAAAATGTTCGACACAATTTATTTCCTATTCCAATCCATCCAACGCCCAGTTATCAGAAAACAAGAGCTTATGAACAAAATACTTGCGAACTACATAGACATTATTGATAGCAGTAAGCCTCTTGCCAACAAACAAAATCTTAAAACTATTTAGTATTATTTAGATGAAGCTATGTTCCAAGTTCACTAAAAGTGTTAATTTGCAGGAGAAGCTGAAGAGCAACTCAGGTTACTGTATGTCCTAGCACCAGAGTGGATTTATGAAAAGATGTCCTTAAGAGGCGATCTCCTAGTTTGGTAAGTGTATGATATTGCTCGTCTCCAGTGTTTTTAACTTGTTTTTACTATCAATGTATCTGAACTGATTTCATCTTGTGCAGTGTTAACAAAATACAATCCCCAGACTCAATACGGATGAGACTGGCAGATGCAATTTGAGAGGAGAATGATGATTGAGGCCTTAGTTTTTGTATATTATTAAGTTAATATTTTTTTCAAACTTTATCTTTTATTATATGCCTTGAAGTAGTGAGCTTAATTTGATAATGCTCAGTATGGCTCAATTAGGCCTTGAGCTGTAACAGCTTGACATTGTTAATATTGACAACAAAGATAAATGCCCCTTCAAGATGTGCAAATGGAAGTATGTGATATATGTTGTGTTTTCGTTTATAGGTATACATACTTAAAAATGTCCCTTTAATTTTGAGTTGCATGTTCAGTATGCCAAAAGCAAAATCAAGTCATACTAGTATGCGATATTAGAATACCACTATACTGAATATGTTGTGTTTTCGTTTATAGGTATATACATCAATCACTTGTTATTTCTATTATACGTAGTACATACATTGTATATTTGTATTTAGTGAAATAGGCATGACAATTTTGCTAGAGGAGATTTTTTTTTAGAATTGAGGTACATGCAACTTTTAAGAGTGTTTGATTTTATGCTCAGGATTGCTCACTATTCTCAACTATATATTTAGAGCAAATCATGGGGGAACTGATTCAAGGTCTAGTCTGATCTCCTAGCCAGTCAACTTTACTAAGTTGACAATGCTACTATAAATCTTAGTAACATTTTGCCCTGTAGGGTCAATTTTACTTCTACTTAACTAATTAGGACTATGAATGTAAATATAAAAGTGTAAGTACAAATTATAGAGTTAAAACCTATTAGGGTCAATATTACTTCTATAATAATTGAGAGTATGATGAGAAAATTTAGAAATGAGAAGATTTTTTTGTTATGGACGAAAAAGGAGAGTGAGAAGATTTTTTTGTTACGGAGGGAGTATCTCCTTTCATCCATTTGCATTAGAAGGACTATGAATAATATAAAAGTATAAGTACAAATTATAGAGTTAAAACCTATCTAGACAATAAAGAATCACTTGGGTAGTAGTATTAAAATATTCATGATTGACGATCGTATTCGGTAGGGTTGGGACTTTGGAACCAAGAACCGGAGAACCGAACCGGACCGAACTGTTATGACCCGGTTCGGTTCGGTTCCAACATTTATTAGTTATTTGTTAATGGTTTGGTTCCTAATTTTTATTAACGGTTCGGTTCTCGGTTCCTGAAAAAAGAATGTACCAGGAACCATTAAGGAACCATTATATATAATAATTAAAATTAATTTTTTTTATATTGTAATGTATATTTACTTATTTATTTTTATATTATATTCATTATTTTAGTTTAGTTATTTAACTATTTAAAACTATTTATTTCAACCGGTTCTCTTAGGCTTCTTAGGCCTCTCATTAGGTCCAAACTCTAGCTGGTCGGAACTCGGAAGGTCCAGAATATTTAAAATTGTTATTCTCTTTAACTGGTTCAGCATATATGTATTGAGATTTCAAACATTGAATGTCTTTTTGGCAAAAATTTAGTCGTGATTTGTAAGAATTTTTTCAAAGACTAGGAACCGTTAAATGACAAGAACCGAACCATTAAGAACGGTTCGGTTCCTTATCGGTTCTTTAAAATAATTTATAAGAACCGAACCGTTAGTAAAATTTCATATTTTCAAACGGTTCCACATATTTTGCCTAGGAACCGAACCGGTCCCAGGCCTAGTATTGTGTGTCACAATTGGAAATGTACGAATCAGGGTTTGGAATTATACTATAAACTCGTCTATAAATTACATTTATATTTGCATTTATACTTATATTTATATATTTTTATATTTTGTATTTACATTTATGTTTATTAAATCAAATTTTTATTTACATTTTTATATTGATTATTGTAATGACATTTAATAAATAACATTCAAACGTTTAGAAACATCATTAAATTTTCAGAAACTATTACTCCGCTACTTCTCAAAAATTGTTTGGAAGCAATTAGAAAGAATTTTATCAAAATAGTTTTGTGTTTCTTATACCCGTCTCTCTAACATTCAGAGATGAGGAGTAACACACTTGTTAAAAAATACCATGTACTTCATATAGATTTATGTGATTGATATTAAATTGATAAGATAAAAATAAAATAAGAATGATATAGAATCACATAAAATTTACAAAATTTCACTAAAAAACTACTCCCTCCGTAACATATATATGTTCCCATTTGAAAAGTAGGTAGATTAAGAATAGTGAAGGTGGATATAAATTATTGAGGGTATGACGGGAAGATAGTGAAATAATATGTTGGAATGAAAGATAAATCTAAAAAAAGTAAGTGTAATAGTGTATTATTTTTAAAATTATTGAGAGTATGATTGGAAGATTATGAAATGAGAAGATATGGGAAAGTTGGAAGATATAAATGTCAAGAGAAATTAAAAAAGGTTGATTCTTCCCATTGCAACTCAACAGCAATTATGATTGCAACCGTACTGTCGGACTGTATACCATTTTTCTTTCTGCGAGTCTATCGACGGACTGCGGTGCACCTTCCATTTCATATCTTCCGGCCAAATGAGCTAAAAGTGTATTAAAGTGGTTGACAAGTATCTGGAAAACTTAATTTGCGTTGCCTCTAGTCCGATCGTGAAGGGAAGCTGCCGGAGCAAACGAATTTGCATCTTCGTTTGGTGAGAAGATTAGTTTGGGTGGATATCGATTGATAGATATTAAACGGCTGTGAGTCGCGGTCTTTTAGGCATTTTGGCTATTTTTTCTTACCAAAAATACTTTGTTGCAATTATTTCCGTGTTAGATCCAAATACCCTCAACCCTTCCTGGCTTTGCAACTCGCAGGTCGCCAAGTCCCACTCCTTCCAATCGCCCATCAGAGTCAGTCACTGCCCTAATCCTTCGCCAATGCTGTGCAGCATTCCGCTTTCCGGATTCTAATCCTCCGCAGTGCCGCTACTCGTTAGGCCTTTAGAGTTCAGACTTCAGGTATGCTTATTTTAGTTTTAACTTATTTTATTTTTACTTTTCTAGTTTGAGCTTTATTTACAGAATTTGAGGTAATTTGTTAGTTTCTTTGGCCAACCGACTGTGAATAAGATATGTCTAGTAATTTTTATATTTAGCTTCTATGAATATGTGATTGTGATTTTGACATTTTTTAGGTATGTTTATGAGAAGGTGAAACGACCATTTTCACATTTAGAATTAAAGTGATTGTGATTTATGAGTATAATTCTCATTAGCATCAATGCGATTGTGGAAGACATACTGATTTTTTTTGTACTGGTCACAATCCTCTAATTCAAGTGGAAGACATTTGAATTTTTTTGTATATTGTGGTTTTCTCATATCTTCTTTCATTTGCGCGAGTTCAATTATATGTACTGTGATAGTCTTAATTTATTGAGTTTTGTGTTCGTTCAAAATTGAAAATCGAAGAAAACAATAATTAAGTTCTATTATATTCATCCTTAATTGCCTGTTTTCATTAATTTTTTGATGTTGTCTAAATAAAGGACCAAATTGCTCAATTTCTTTTCACATACTTTTGTCATGCTACAATTCAAGTTAGACACATAAACCTATAATATCCGATTCTTGCCCCAAATATTATCACCCAATGCCAAATTTGAAAACATTTAAAAGATTACCTGCCCTTGTCATGCTATTTTTTCTCTAGTCCCTTTGCCACTACACTAATTTCTTGAATAAACAAGTTTTTTCAAGATTAAAATTTGAAGAAATGTGATATCTTTTTTGTTGCTTACTTCTTAGAAGATGAATAGGTTTGCTCAAAAGACCACTTCGGTAGCTATATATGACTTATTTTGTTTGTCAACCTTATAAGTAGCCTTTTGGTTGAACTTACTTATATGTGGCTGAAATGAGAGTTGGGCATGCTAACAAAAGCTTTTCCATTCAAAAATTTCAGCCATTTCCAGCTAATCGAGTCTGCAAACTTACAATTAGCATTATTAGCTAATCAAAGCTCAGACTTCATGTATGTAATTTAGATAAGAAATTGACGAACACAACACCTTTTCATTGAACTCTTTCGCTCCATCCGTCCAGACATTGTTTCCAGCAAACCTGCCAGATCAATATGTTTTTTCTTGTATCTGATTCTTGAGGGACACAAAATCAGATCCTACTTCATATCACAATCAACATACAAATGCAAGCTATCTCAATCTAATATGTACTCCCTCCGTCCCTAAATAAACTTCCAACTTTCCTTTTTTGTTCGTCCCAATTAAAGCTTCCATTTTCCCTTTTTGGCAATGAATTTGTGGTTCACAGCAATTCTTACACATTTCTCTCTCCTCTGCACAACTCTCCACCACACAATACCCACTATCTTAAACTGTGTGCCCAGCCGTTTTGGGAGTTTTATTAGGGGCGGAGGGAGTAACAGTTTTCATGTAAAGAATAGAGATAGCTGCTAGCTGCACCTCAAATTGATAAACTTTCTCTCCCTTCCTCCTGGAAACTGCTTCTCCAGTTTGGTCCTCGGAGAAAGGGTATTACATTTTTGTACATTCTCATTACTATAAAATTAGAAATATCCTCAGTCACTATTTTAAGCTCAAAATATCTCTTCTCTCATTCTTTGCAGCAAACAAATTGAAAGAATCACATATCAGGTGTGGGACCTGGTAAGGTGTAGAGTGTAAAATGCTCCCAACCACTTCTCCCAATCACCCAGTGTGTTATTTCGTGGACAACAGAATCAGCACTGTCCATAAGAACAGTCAGAGGAAAACAAAATTGTTATGCTCAAATCCATGCTCACCTAGAGTTTATTTTCCTCGAGGAGTTCAGATTCTTAAGAATACCAGGCCTGCACAACTAAAACGATGTTATGTGTTACCTAATACTACCGATGGGCATATTTGTGTATCTGCCTCTACAGAAGATGACACAGTTGCCAGCTTTCAGTTGAGTAATGAATCAGAAACCCTGTTCAGTAAATGGTCTCCTCCTAGGTATTTATGGAGGGGACTATCCGTACTCATCATAGCTGGACAAGTGATCATACGGATAGTAAAGGGTAAAATCCACTGGAGAAACACCTTGCAACAACTAGAGAGGGTTGGCCCTAAATCCGTCGGCGTTTGTCTATTGACCTCAGCTTTTGTCGGCATGGCCTTCACAATTCAATTCGTAAGGGAGTTCACAAGGCTAGGGTTAAACCGGTCCGTGGGTGGGGTCTTGGCCCTAGCCTTTGCAAGAGAACTAAGTCCGGTCGTCACGTCGATTGTTGTCGCTGGGCGGATTGGTAGTGCATTTGCTGCAGAGCTAGGCACGATGCAGGTCTCTGAGCAAACTGACACGCTACGGGTTCTTGGGTCAGACCCAGTTGACTACCTGGTGACCCCACGGGTGATTGCATCTTTTATCGCTTTACCCATTTTGACCCTGATGTGTTTTACAGTTGGGATGGCGTCCAGTGCAGTTCTGTCTGATGCTGTGTATGGGATTAGCGTCAACATAATATTGGATTCTGCCCGAAGGGCGCTTAGGTCATGGGATATTGTTAGTGCAATGATCAAGTCTGGGGTTTTTGGTGCGATCATATCCACAGTCAGCTGTGCTTGGGGTGTGACGACACTTGGTGGGGCCAAGGGAGTTGGAGAGTCAACCACTTCAGCTGTCGTAATATCTCTAGTCGGTATTTTCATTGCTGACTTTGGACTCTCTTGTTGCTTCTTCCAAGGAGCCGGGGACTCTTTGAAGAGCTGTGTTTGATGTTCTTTTTTTTCAAATTTCGATAACCTTCTTTGGTGTTTTTTCTGAAGAATGAAAATCTAGTTGACTTGGTTTTGAGCTTTTGCCGTTGTAGGTATGAGACATGGTGCTGATCCATACACATTGTATATTTAATTCATTTGTGAATTTAAAAGGTAGCTGAAAACTTCAATATACTGTGAAAGTTGACGTTATTGGCTACCAGTTGGAACTTGAAATACTATGTATGTACTATGTTATTGGTAATAATAGTATCTTGTGAAATTAGTGTATGCTATACTCGCATAGTCATAAACAAGTAACTCCTAGTTTTCCTACAATTTTAAAACGCAGTGTGCATTTGGTAATAAGAGATCTTATGAGCTGTTTAGAAAAGTTGGATGTTTTTTTAATCTACTCAGTAATCTATACATAATAACATACAGCCTAATACTCCGTATATGAGGAAACATTATAACATACTCTCCGTTCTCTAATACTTGTTCATTTTTCATTCTGGGATGTTCTCTAATAGTTGTCTCCCTTTCCATTTTTAGAAAGTTTTATCAATAAATATACTCCCCTATCCCAAAATTATCTTCATTCTTTCCATTTCGGTCTTTCCAAAATTTATCTCCTCTTTCCTTTTTTTTGGTAAAGAATATGTGGTTTACAACCATTCTTACACATTTCTCTCTCTTCTACACAACTCTCCACCACATAAATACCACTATCTTAAAACCTGTGCCCAGTCAAAACCGGAGTTAAATATGGGACGGAGGGAGTATTTATATACCTTCATTCTCTTTCTTACTGTTTAGTTATATTTCATACTTTTTCATTTAAACACAACCCACTACACCTTTTACATTACCCTTATTACTTTCCTCTTAAAACTTGTACCAAATCCTATAGGGACATCTAATAGAGAATGGAGGGAGTATATAATTAATATTTAAAAAAGTATTATGATTTAACAAATTTATTTGCTAACATTCCATATACTATTTATGATTTATCTATTAAATAGCTGTTTGTGTTATATGTATAGATTATAGGGTTTAATGCGGGAAACCCCTTTGTGATATTTAAATTCAGCATGATACTCCTCTCTGTGATTAAAAAAGCACACAAACCCCTTATGTTTTATTAAATTAAGCACATTATCCTTGAAAACGGTGAAAGTAACCTATTTGTACCACACGCGCCATTGATGCGATCTTGAGGGAGTGTTTGCAATTGCTTCAACTTTAAAAAAGTGATTTTTTAAAGTGATTTTGGGAAAAGTGATTGATAGTAAAAGTTGGTAGTGTTTGAGAAAAAAGTGATTCTGAAAAAGTAAAAGTTGGTAGTGTTTGGTAAAATAAGTACTTTTTGTGTAATAGAAAAAGTGAGAAGCAGTTTAAAGCACCTTTCTATCTGCTTCCGGCTTTTAGCTTTTAAGTGATTAATTTAAGCAGAAGCTGTCATTTGAAAACACTCTTTTCAACTTTTTTTAAGCCAAAAGCTAAAAAGCGCTTTTTTAAAGCAATCCCAAACACTCCTTGAATCATTTCCCATCTTGTACCTACTACAGTGGTTTTCTCACCTTTCGGTTTCTATGTTTCAGTATAATATCCAGATTGTGTAAGTGCCACTATATCCCATTCAAGAGGACTTTTCATGTCCAGCCGGCCTGACGGGAACCGCCGTCCGGCCGAGGGAATTTCAGGCACTTCCCGGTGGAATTTTTTGATGAAATTTTTTTAGCATGTTCTTCATGAAGTCTAGTTTATCCATACCAAATTCCAGCTAAAAATTCAATCGGGAAGGCATTCAAATAATTTCTTCCAGCTAAAAATTATTTGAATGTCTTCCCGATCAAATTGTGAGCTGAAATTTGGTATGGATAAATTAGACTTCATGAAGAACATGCTCAAAAAATTTCATCACAAAATTCCATCGGGAAGTGCCCGAAATGCTCTCGGCCGGACGGCGGTTCCCGTCAGGCCGGCTGGACAAGAAAAAGACTCTCCCATTCAAATTTCTAATTCTACATTAAATTATGTGTTGCCAGATTTTGACTCCTTTTAAACTCAATTTTTAATATATTTTAAAAATCATCTAAAACATCAATCTAAGGCCTAAATTATGATGAATTTTATTTTAATAAAATAATAAAACTTCATAAATAAAAATATCAAAATATCGTAAATCAACAATGAAATATTGAAAAATAAAAGAAATAAAAAACCGTCAAATTTAAGATTTTAAAATCTGTCATAGTTTTTAAACATTTGGATCCTATATCAATAAATTTCATTTTTTCGAGTCGCGGATTGACATTTAGAATGTTTTTACTTGGACAATTTTCAGTCCCAGACTAGATTAGATCAGATTTAAACAGATCAGATCAAATCAGGCCAGACTTAAACAGACAAGACTAGTACAGACTTCCACAGTACGTTATAAAATACTCAAAGACCCAACATTTGTCAGATGAGACCTGTTCTGACCAAATCATACCAGACTTAAACACACCCTACCAAACTACATTAGTAAATTTCAGAGTAAAAACATCCTTAACATATCTTTTAAAGTTCTAAATTGAAAAAACTCTAATACGTAGTATAATATTATTGTAATAAATCAATAACCTTTGATTATATTGATAAATCCAATTTGAAATACAACCTCTGTTCTTGAAGTTCTAAACTGATAAAACCAATTTAAATTACATATATAGTGCATTACACAGTAGTGCACCGTTCCATCACCGACCTTTGTTTTTAAGGAATGCAATTCCAAATTCCAAAAAGAAATAGCTTTGTACATATTAGTAATATCCAAGTTCATCAATGTGACCAAACAGATTTTTATTCAGTCCTTGTCGTTCAATATAATGTACAAACAAATATGTATTTAAATCTAAAAAGTGCAGGACTTTCAATACATGTTTACACACATATATGTTGTCTCACGTCATCAAAACGAACACATATTTAAAACTAAAAATATGAACTTTCAATACATGTTTAGGCATATATATGCTGTCTCAAGGTTTTAATTAGCAATTGTTTAGCATAGTTATGCATAGAGCAAATTATGGTCTTATTTTGACTAAATAATACAAAGTACTAGACAATATTATTTACCACTTCTTTCCGATTAAAGCTTGAATTTCATTTTTATCTATTTTATTATTTCAAGAAAAAGTAATATAGAAATTCTTAGATTCTTAGTTTCTATTTACTTACTAATAGCCCTAATTGATATTCTTGGTAATGCTATACATACTAAGCAGCCCAAAACTTTTTCACAAACTAAAAAGTAAAAGTAAAATTTCAAACAATGAAAAACATGGGTTATTGCTCCTGAATACCTAGAGCCTAATAATGAGTCGCAGTCCTATGGTTTGAGAATGAAACTTAGTAGAAGTAAGGCACTATGGATCCTCTCACTTCAAATTGGGTTCAATTCCACCTTGTGACCTTCATCCCCCTTCGTATGTTGGACAGAGTATTGAATGACCAGCCTCCAGCCCTAGTTTAGGTTAAAGACCTGGAAGTTTGAAGGTTGGCTGGCGTACCAAATAAAAAGGGTGTAACGGGATGTTTGTAAAAAAAAATTCACGGCGTTACTTAATACTCTCATAAGGGGCGGGTGAGCATGTTTAATTAAAACATAAGGGGCTTTAGTGCCTTTTTATTAATAGAAGGAGATAACATGTTGAATTTAAATATCACATGGGGTTTCCTGCATTGAACCCATAGATTATATGTATGAGTTTTTTAAAATTGCTTTAAGATGCAAGAGATTTGAATAAATTTTTATTACCATATTTTAAATACGTTTCTTTCATTTTTTTTGTATATATAGAGAATATCAATTGTGTATAGTGAATAGTTTTTCGGTTGTTTTAAATTCATTTCAAGGTGTCCCAATGCTGTTTAACAAATGGTAAGTTTATCATTGTTGTATTATCTTAGTTTTTATTACGTATGTAGTAGTGGATTTTAGCATGCAATGATGAATTCATTCTAGCAATTCACCTGTGATGAGATAGTTTTCAATCATGGTTACTTATACTATGATGGTTGATTATGCTATGACCATTACTAAAAGTCAAAGACAATCTCTTTCACGTGTCGATTTATTGTTGAAGAAATCAGTTTTCAGCCATTGTCAACTATATGCGGCAATTTCGCGAGTTATTTTCGGTGAGGGTTAAAAATTTTAATTTTAGATGATAATGATCAAAGCTCGAATGAGACAACAAATGTTGTTTATAAGGAAGTGTTTTGACTAAATAATACAAAGTACTAGACAATACGGAGTATTATTTACCACTTCTTTCCGATTAAAGCTTGAATTTCATTTTTATCTATTTTATTTCAAGAAAAAGTAATATAGAAATTCTTAGATTCTTAGTTTCTATTTACTTACTAATAGCCCTAATTGATATTCTTGGTAATGCTATACATACTAAGCAGCCCAAAACTTTTTCACAAACTAAAAAGTAAAAGTAAAATTTCAAACAATGAGTTGCAGTCCTATGGTTTGAGAATGAAACTTAGTAGAAGTGAGGCACTATGGATCCTCTCACTTCAAATTGGGTTCAATTCCACCTTGTGACCTTCATCCCCCTTCGTATGTTGGACAAAGTATTGAACGACCAGCCTCCAGCCCTAGTTTAGGTTAAAGACCTGGAAGTTTGAAGGTTGGCTGGCGTACCAAATAAAAAGGGTGTAACGGGATGTTTGTAAAAAAAAATCACGGTGTTACTTATTACTCTCATAAGGGCATCACCAACCATGAGATTATTAAGTGACTAGATTTTTCACCCGTGCTTCGCACGGGATGGTGTTAGTAAGCAATAATTATTTGCAAATATATAGAAATGTTGTGATAATGATAGAACAACTTATTTATTATTTTTAGTAAAAGGAAATGGAGATAAAAAAATTAAAAGTTATTATATAGTTCTTTCTAAATAGTATTTAGTCTTCGTAGCCGGTTTTCCGTCATTATCACATATAATAAATTTCAATCTAGACAGTAGGTGTTACTCTTGATACCGCGACATAAAGTTGTCTATGAGTGAAAAATTGAACGACTTAAGAAAACACCAGCCCTCTCCAAAGATTGTCTCTGACTCGTAAAAATGGTCATCGCGTAACGAAACCTCAAACGAAATTGCCTACGCTGAAATGTGAGCGACAACTTTAGGTCAGATGGAGTCAAGCTATGCTTCGTAGTAAGAAACTTTTGTTCTTCATTTTTCCAACATTGGTCAACAAAATTTCAATTTTTCTTAATTTGAGT